TCTTGGAGTCACAGGGGGGTCCTCGGGGGGCGCGCATCCCAAGAGTTTCCCAAAAGGGTTCTGATAAGACACTACGAAGTCACGCAAGGAGGCTGCCCTCACGTGACGTGATTTTGTTTCCCCTGGGGACCATCCTGCGGCTTTATTGGGGGCGTTTTGGGAAGAGGGCACGGGGGGATGCGGCTAAATAAGGGGGGCGCGTGTTTCGTTTGCTCCCCCAACCATGAGGCTACATGAGGGGGGCGCGTGGTTGGTTCGTTCCCCCAACGTCCCAAAGGCTTCGCCACTCTGTTTGAACCTTTTCGGATGGCCTCCTTCCACATTGTCTCACCCATTAAGTTCCACCTAAGCCTTTCTTCGTCGAACTTCTATTCGGGCATCTGTCTCGTCGAAACTCCGTTCTGCCATTCCCTTTCGTCGAATTCCTACATTCTGCAGCCACAAGAATATCATTTTCGTAGGCGGCCATTCAAGGAGTTTGTTTGTAATGTCGCGTCGGGAGGAATCCTTATGCAAGGCCTTATCAAAAGGCATACTTGTGTAATGCCGTCACACAAGAGATCCTCAGATCAGGCCGCGACAAAAAGAACCCTTGTGTAAGGCCGCCACACAAGAATTCCTTGTGTAAGGCCTCCGCACAAGGAATCCCCTTCCAGGGCAGCCATGCTGTATATGTTCTTCAAAAAGCAAGGGAAAGCAATGAACACCCATGAACTCAATGGAACCCCAACGAAGAATTGTGAATCCCATCATCAACAATGTGGGTCCATAGGTGTATCGTTGTGTTCAGCGTTTTGTTGTTATCTTGTTAGGTCTTAAGTGTGTTGATTTGATGTTTGTTGTGTTACCCTATGGTGCCTTAGGCCGTCTCTGCTTTTTAATTGTGATTGTATCGGTGTCTTGTGGTTCTGCCGTTGCTGTTCTTCATGTGTGCACCGTATGCGTATGTGGTTTCGTTTGCTTCGTCGTGTGGTCCTTGCTTGTGGTGCTTGCCAGCATAGCCGTTACTTCCTGGAGGGGGGCCGAACATCGTCATGGCACCACAAAGGGTTCGTTTTGCTGGACCGCAATACACGGAATCCTGTTGCAAGGCCTCCGACAAGCAGCAGTGGAAAACACGGAAAGTTGTTAGTATGAATGGAAGCGAAGACGAGACGGCGCACAACATTGAAAACCATGAAAACAACATATGTGTGTTCATTTGCTTCTGTGTGTGATCAGTCGTGTTGTTGTGATGTCGTAGGCTTTCATTATGTTAAGTTGTTTTTGATGCGTGTGCGTCACATGCTCTCATCGGATGCCACTGTTCTGTTTTGTGTTTCCATGGGTTGTCTGTGGTTCCGATTGCGTTTATCGTGTTTCCGAAGTTGTTGTGTTGTGTTATTTGGTTTTCGCTGTGTGCTTTGTGTGTACCTTGTGCTCCTTGTTCCACGGATGGGGTACAGAAATTTGCCAGGGCACCGCAACAGGATTCTTTTTGACAGGGCGCCACAATGGGATTCATGTTGCAGGGCCGCCGCAAAACGCTTCTTATTGCAAGGCCTCCACAGAAGGACTCTTCTTGTAATGCTGCCACAAACGGAATCCTTTTGCACGGCCGCCAGAAATAGAATACGTACGTGAGGCCGCCAAAGAATTAATGATTTTGCAATGCCCCCCATAAATGAGATCCTTCTGGGGCATATACCGCAGTTGGCTTACCTCCTGAAGGCTTCCTAGCGATAACAAGAGAGAATGTGTATGTACCCGTTCGTATGTATTTGACGCGGAAGGTTGGCGTTCAACGTGTCAACATATGAAAAACACAGCCGCCGATGTCATTTCTTTCTGGAAATTCAGCCACGGCGGACGCACATTTGGAGGACTTGTCTTTTGAGCGACACCATATGGGAGGACGTATCTGCAGTTGTGTGTGTGTGTGATGTTGGGTGCGGGGCGCTCGTCATTAGAAGCGCAAAGGATATATCATCGCCTCCGTTTTCATTCATAGCGGACGCACCCCGTGAGGGTTTTCATGGACGCCGTCAACAGAGGGAGAAGTTCGTGTATTGTTCGTTGATTTTGGGCGCGGCCTGCTTGAGACTATAAACGTAGGGGTGAGAACCACCGCCTCCAATTTCATTGTCGTCAGGAACTTCAGCCGCGGCGGACGCATCCCTCGAGGGCTTCTCCTATGAACGACGGCTAAAGGGAGGAATTGCGTGCATTCTTGGTTCGCTTTGGGCGCAGGACGTTTGCTATTAGAACAGTAACGGGTTAACCATTTCGTGTTCGATTGTTTTGGGGGAGTTCAGCCTCGGCGGACGCACCTTTGGAGCGTTGTCATGCACGCCGCCACAAGGGAGGAATGCTGTACGTGGTCCGTTGGTTTTGGTCGCGGATGCCTGCCATTTAGAACGTTTTTGTGATGCATCTGGCACAACGCCCCACTTGTGCGCCGTCTGGGACGTGGGAAGTCAGCCACGCTTGTGCGCCTTCTGAGGGCATCGCGACCCGCTTCACTTCAAAATGTGGTTAATTCTGTCGAATGGGCATTCTGTCACTGCCCACATGCCCTTATGGGCGCTCTGCATGCAGTTAAAGAACATCACATATGTTTGTTGTTGGTTCTGAGCGCGGGTGATTTGTTGCCAGGACGCTCAAGTGTAATTATGTTGGCGAAAACCCCGATCCATGTTCAGGACGAGGCGGTTACGAACAGGACCGCTCAATACCCAAGAATATTGCGAGAGGGGCTGCGGTGCCCTTGAACGCTTCGCCAAAACAACGTCGAAACACACCCAAAGTTCTCCATTCACGCGCGCACTCTCGCGACTCTGTCCGAACGAAAGAAGACGGCGAGGAGCGCGCCGTGGAGGCCCCAATGAGGCCAAGAAACATGCGAGGTGTCTGCCGAAATCGGGCGGGGTCGCCTGCGAACGCAGCCACCAGGGCCTTCGGTAGAGCTCCTTGCGAAACCGCGAAACGTGTGAGGGGTCTGCCAGAATGGGGCGGGGCCGCATGCGGACGCAGCCACTGGAGCCTTCAGTAGACCTCCCTCTGGGGCCGCGCGAGGTGTGAGCGGCCGCATGCGAACGCAGCCATTTGGGATTTCGGTGGGGCTCCCTATGGGAGCAGGCGAGGGGTCTGCCGAAATGGAGCAGGGCCGCATGCAGACGCAGCCACTGGGGCCGTCGGTGGAGCTCTTTTTGAGGCCCGTAAGCGTGTTAGGGGTCTGCTGAAAAATTGGGCGGGGACGCATGTGAACGCAGCCATTGGGACCTTCGGTGGATCTCCTTATGGGGTCTTAAACCGCGTGAGGGGTCTGCCAGAATGGAGCGGGGCCGCATGCGAATACAGTCATTGGAGCCTTCGGTTGAGAAGCACGGCACTGGGTGCGTGGACGGGTGTTCGTCTGAGATGAAGCCGTCCATCCCCCAATCTCTGAAGAGCACCAAACATGATCCTCCCTCCCTCCCTCCCTCTCCCTTCCCTCCGTTTCTCTCGCCCCTTCCCCCCATCCCTTTCCACGGCACCCGCGTCTAGCCGACAGGCAGGAGTGCGGCTCCTTGACTGACGAGTTCTGGGGAAACAGCGGGGACTGCTTAGGGGGAGGACAGTGGAAGTCGCACAAGCTCGTCACACAGCAAGCTGATACAGTCAAACAGAGTAGTAAGCAGCCAGGAAGTCAGCAAGGCTGTCTGTGGTGCCTTGTCTGGTTGGCAGGGTGTTTGGGCTGGCCGCTCCTGTAAGTGTGTCAACATGAACGTTGAAGGGGTCTTGCCCTGGCACTTTGTTCTGATGTGCCACACTGACGCGTATCCCTGCACGGGAGAACGGCGGGCGCATCGCTCGAGAGATTAGTCGATTTCCCATTGGCACAAAATTGCTTCCTCTCGTTGCCCCGACACACCTGATGACCCAGCTTTGAAGATTCAGGCAACCGCTTTGTCCTTTCCACGACTTACGTACACGGTGCTCCGAATTATGATGTTGATTCCCTCATGTGTTGGACGCGTGCTCCGTCTCTTTCTCGCCTCTTACTCCACCGTGTTGGAAGTATCGCCAGGGGGGAGTCTGTCGTTTCCTATCGATGGTCATCCGTGGGGTATCGCTCCCCGGAGACCAGGACACAGGTAAACCAGGACACGGGAAACGAACAAAACGACACCTTTTCTGGCAAAGTCACATTTTCCAGCACCCGTGATTTTTTAGCTTGTTGCACTTCAGGATTCGGGTCTGTGTCCGGGTGTAGGAGGGTCTTGCAGGTTTTTAGGGCCGGTGTCCGGGCTTATTCTGGAAATGCTTCTGTGCAGTATGTTGTTCGCGCCGCCGTCTGGAAGAACTGTTTTCGAGGGATGCTCAGTGCCCGGGTCTGGCGCGTCCGGGTTTTACGGGGGCCACGGTCGGCCGGATTTTCGGGTGGAGGGCTGGGCGCCGGGGGCGACCCGCGAAGACGCTGCACTGCGGGCCCGCTGGGCCATGCTCGGACCCCACTCCCGCGGACAACCGCGGGCACGCACGGCGCGAGCCCGCAGGGCACGGCTGCCCGAGCGCAGCATGCCGCACCACTGGGAGGCCGGGCTCCCCCCCGGGCCCTCGCTGCAGAGGGGCGGAGTGGGCGGGGCGGGGCCGTGGTGACCCGGGTCGGCGGCCGGCCCGCGGGGCCTCGGCAGGCTCCGCAGGCCCCTCCGCCTCTCGAGAGGCTCTGCTGCCCCGCCGCCTTCTGAGGAGGCCTGCCCCCCCCTCCCCATTGCTTCCCCCGTCGGCGCGCCGCTGCGCGGGGGGAGCGTTGGCCCGCGAGACCAAACAACAAACATCGGGCGGGGCTGGGACAAGGATAAAACCTCTCCACGGCGTTCCGGAACTCTCTCAGAGCGATCTGGAACGCTCTGAGAAGGCCGCCGCGCCCAATACATCCTCCAGAGCCGCGGGATCTCAGAGATTCTCGAGTAATCCTCACCCGAATGTGTCCTCGTTTTGACTTCGTCTTAGGGGCGGGGGGGCGTACGGCCCCCGAGGCGGACCGGGCGCCGTCCGAGTGGGTGCCCGTGCTGCCGCGCGGCTGGGTGCTGCGCCGGGCGCTGCGGCCCGCCGGCGAGGGCGAGGCTGCGGCTGCAGACCTCGGGCGGCAGCCCGCCGCGGTGCCGTCCCAGCCAAGGCGTCGCGGGGAACGGGTGGCTCGGAGGATGGGCGGCCTTCCTGCATTCGACCGCGGGGCTCGTGCGTAAAGATGTGTGCGTGATTGAGACTGTGTGTGTAGTCCCACGTCCTCGCCTCGCCTGTGGCTACCGCCTGGCATCGTGGTCGGTCTTTGTATACCTGGCTCCCGTCAGGTACGCGCTGCACCCCCCTGGTGGAACGTCCCCTTGGGCGGCGGCCAGTGTGCGTTCTCTTCTACCCGCCATCTACGCTCGGATGGCAATGTGCTGCCCCCCTCTGTCGGGCCGAACGAAAGGGGGGGATAGGCTCCGGGATAGGGAAAGGGGGGGTTACGAAATCTGCTGCAAGCGGCTGGTTTCGGCCCCACCGAGGGGCCCATTCCTCGTTACGTGGGCGCCTCCGACGCCAGGGGGCGCCGGGAAAATCAGCTACGTGAGCTGATTCTTAAACCCCCCCTTTGCTATCCCCCGGCGCGCACGTGCACCGGCCTAGGTTTCGGGCGCCGTGCTTGACATGCTTCGTCTCGTTGGCGCGCGCGAGGCCGCGCCGCCCCCCAAACAAATATGCGCGTGCTTCATGTTCGATGTGTGTATGCGAGTGTTTGTGTGCATGTGCGCATGCGTCCCAACACTCCACTGGCAGTTGGGGAAGAAGTATCTAGAGCCTCTTAGGCTATCCTCCTCCTCCTCCTCCTCCTCCCCCTCCTTGCCCTTCTCCTCTACAGATCTTACGTCACGGCGTACCCCCAGCGGCGCGAAAGTTTCCGACCTGAACTATGTCGTGCGTGTTTCCTCGAGCCCGATCGATCTGTGAAGGCACAATTGGCCCAAAGTGCAGAAACGCGCGCCATGAGTTCTGTTCACGACACCCGGGCGTCAGGGCTCCTAAAAGCCCTCCTGGCCCCCTCCCTGGCGCGTCCGAAGCTTCGGCACCTTTGAATTAGGCGGGTTAGGCCCGCATCGCCCGACCGCGGTGCCGACTCCAGAGCACGCCAACAAGGCTCCCACGGCCATCTTGTTTTTCCGCGGGCGGGAACCGTATCCGCATCCACGGCCTCGCGGTCTGGAGTCTCGACTCTTTGGCCGCGACCCTATGGACACAGGGCTGCCACGCGCGGAATGCAGCCGTTGGATCGAGTACCCGCTTCGGTGTCCAAACCGCCAGGGCCTCGGATGTGGGCGTGGCTGTTGGCCTCCCCAGCGACGACAGGCGAGTTCTCGTGTCGGCAATGCAAAGAGGGGGGGCCCTGAGAGATGCGGGCCAATTGCTTCAAAACGTGAAAGTTCAGCCCGGGAGGAGGAGGAGGAGGAGGAGGAGGAGGAGGAGGAAAATGAGGAGGAAAAGAAGGAGGAGGGAGGGGAGGGAGGGAGGGAGGGAGGGAGGGGGACCCGCACGCCTGACTGGGTTGTCTGTCTTGCTTGCTGTACTTTTGCCCAAGCGCCTGTTGCGTTTCCCTGATCAAGGTGTCGAGGGTGATGGGGACAGCAAGACAAGGCCTGCTCGTCATTCCTCCCTTCGGGTGGCGGCAGGACTGAAAGCAGTTCAACGCGTGGGACTTAGTATTGCTGGGGGGTGTCCAAGGCAATTGCTCTCAAAAGCCTTGGGTAGAACTCGCTGTAAGCACCGCGAGCCCAACATGCCAACACGCAACTGTCATTATCGAGGCGATCGAACAAGTAAATATCGTGCCCGTTTCGCTGCTCGGAAAGGGCAGCTAGTTTGGCACAGTGCCCAGGGCATCTGTGGGCGTCTCGTCTCGCACATGCAGCCTCGGATCGAGCTCGTGTTCTGCAGAGTTCGCACGTCCAAAGGTTGTCATCTAACTGGGCCCACTGGTGGGCGCCGCCGTGTTTCTGGTCTCCCACACCAGGGTCGCCAGCCTCGGGCCCAGGGACCGCAGGGGGGTCAAAGGGAGGAGGCAGGAGAGGGCCAAGGAAGGCGGCACCCGCCAGGGGCTTCTCCGCAGGCTCGAAACTTGGTCCGTCGCAGGCCTTGTTGCCAGATGTCGAGGCAATCGCAGGCCACGTGGGTAGGCCTTTCGCGAGAAACCGAAGAAAGCAGACCAAACAACCATGGCTCTGGTGATAAGCCTGAACCTCCGCGGGCGAGGGGCCTCCAGCTTTGCTGGCGGCAGCTTTAGCTAATCGATCTGCGGTGTCATTTCCCATGGTTCGGAACTTTTGCCCTGGATCTTGGGGGAAGGTTCTCTACATCTTGGTGGGCCTTTACTTTACATATCCTAGGAAAGGGTCTCCTTGCTATGTTTACTTTTGGCTAGCAGCTCCAACCCCGCGTAACGGTTACGTCTATCGAAATCCGTTTGGCCATATTTGGTTAAGGCTCCAAGGTGGTCAGAGTGGAGAGAGGTGAGGAGAGGGCACATGTGGCCAATGGCCATCACGACATGCTCAGCTGCTGGCGAGGTTGGCGGCAGCAGCTCTCCCGTCTGTCCCGAGAGATGCGCCAAGCACTCGCCATTCTCGTCAAGCACTGCCACCGCCCATCCCGTCTGGTGCCAGTGCGGAGGTCCTGGTTTGTAACAATTTCCGTCGACAAAACCTTCCCCAGCCATCGCCACGGCCATGGGGTCACCCCTTCGGGACCAACAATCCCGAGACAGGCCTAAACCTCCGGGCCGCGCGATGCAGGCTTGGGGCTGAAACTGGAAACCGTGGCCAAGGGAAGCTGCTAGGGGGGGCCCTTCCAAATGCGATTCATCAGCGGCCGTCAGCATCTCAGATTTCAGGTTGTGGATGAGGGGGCACTGGAACCTGTGCGACATGTCGTCTCTCTCGTGCGCACAGGGGCATGTCGTGTCAAGCTCGTATCCTGCAACTGCGGACCTAGTCTTAGTCCACAAACACTGGGTCAGGTAGGGCATCAAGCTGCTTTTCTCACAAGATGTAAGTTTGGGGTCTTCCAACACTGATCTAGCAGCTGTGACATCCAATCTCTCCTCGGGCATTCCCATCTTGGTGGCGGCTCGCTTCTCGAGGTTTGCCGCCCAGGCCAACTCGAGATGGCACTTGAGGAGCGCGGCCGAAACTATTGTGAGCTGGAGCAGCAGGCCTTCGGAGGTCTCCATCTCGAGGGGTTCTTGAGGCCCCGGCTGATTCCCCTGAGGCTTAATAAGGTGGCTCCTACAGGGCCTCGTCAAGATGTCCACTTTCTGGGGGGGGGGTGCATGATATTCCGAACTTTATCTTGGAACTCAGCGCGCGTGATCCCGAGGAGGAGGGGCTGGGTGGAGAGTCTCCACGCCATCAGTCCGTTGTAGATCACGGGTCCCAGGGCGGCTTTCCAAGTTGGGTCTCCCAAGAAGCACAAGTTGAGGGTTCTGGATCTGGTTTGGCCTCTGGGCCCCACGGTGTTGAGATACATGTTGTGGCTTTGATATTTATCGTGAGGCCCAAGACTTCCGCCCCGCAGTGGTTGGCTTGGTCCAGGCCTGTTCTGTTGCGCATGTCGGCGCATGCGGAGCTTGGCGAAGCGGGCTCGGAGAGTGGCTCGTCCTCTGCCTGAACGGGTCCGTCCTGCAGCCGTGTAATCGATACCTAAATTAGTTGCCGAGTCGATCCGCTCTTCGGTCTGAGGTCCAGCTAGCGGCCCCAGGGCTCGGAGGAGAGGTTTCCCAACGGCAACGGAGGAAGCGAGGGCCGCCGACTTGTGCACAGCGGTTCTACACCCCAAGTCGATTTCAATAGCGTTTTCCATGCTGAGGGCGGCGGAGGAGAGGTTAGCCACTAGGTCATTAGGGATTTTGCATTGGGCCTGGAGGAGGAGGAGGTCCTCTATGAACATGCGGAGGTCTGTGTTCGGAGTGTCTTGGACACAGACGTCGAGCGGGACAAGGCTAAACATCTGGACGACGTAAGGAGCGAAATTGCACCATGCTGGGGTCCCGCACCGCGAGCTTTCCACGAAGGTGGCTAGACCCCAGCTCGCTACAAGCCTGGGCCCTCCGTATTGGTTATAGATCATGGTTGCGAGCGCCTGTTTGAAATTTGCCCCGACCGCCCTAGTATACAATTTATCCTTACCGATGTGCTCGTAGTAGTTAGATAGGTCCCAAAAAATGGCAGCAGCATGTTCAGCTACTCCTTCATCGTGAGCGGATTCGGCCAGAAAAACTTGGTAGCGCACTGTCTCCAGGATCTCTCGGCCCGATTGGTGGGCCAGGAAATTCCGCTTGTTGGCTTTCTCCTAGGTTTTGGCAACAGGTTGGCGAATTCGGGCCCAGGTCCTCCAGATGGCGGTCATCAGTCCTATGCCACGATAGCTGGGCTTGTCTGTTTCGGCCTGCTGCTTATGCTTGGGGATCAAGGAAATGACTGCGGCTCGCGCCGGCTTCGGGAAGAGCCCCAGCGCCTCGCAAGCGTTGAGGAAACGGGCAGTGAGTTCGAGCTCTGGCACCATAGCGAAGTGCCTAGGGTGAAAGCCATCATATGTGAACGCCGCGTCGTGACGAAATCCCCTGGATGCCCGGAGGATGTCGTCGGCGGTGATGGGTTCAAGCCCTGCGAGCGCTTGGGCTTCGGGTCTCTTTTGGCGGGAGGTGTATTCTCGGGCCTCGGTCGTCCATATGCTGGCTCGTCTATCTGCTTCGGCGAACAGCAACTCTGACGGGCGGCCAGTCCACCTGCTCTCGCACGGTTTCCACATTCTCTGCGGTCTCCAAGCACTTCACGCGTGGCCCCAACCGACCCATTGCCGCATACTGGTTATTGCCCAATCCTTCCACTTGGTTTCTTCGCTGGTTTTGCCCCGCTGGAGTTCCCGAACAATGGCTCTGGAGGCATCCTCGAAAAACGTGTCGAACACCTCCCCGGCGATGTCAAGGTTAAGCCTGTCGCTCCCGAAGTCTAGCAGCACCGGTTGAGCCGCGCTCTGGATAGTTTGCAGGAGGGCCCCGAGGTCGGCGTCATCGGCGCGAAGGTTCGGGTGGGCCTGGAGATCCTCGGAGGCATTCTGGGGATCGAGGTTCTGGAAATCGTGCTTATCTAAGGCTCTGCGCATGTCTATCAGCTTGTTTTTGGGCCAGCGTAGTGGCCCAGCAACAAATCGCCGACTGCAGCGGCGGTTCCGTTCTGCTTCGCGCGCCGGCACCCACTTTACTTGAGGCCCCTGACCTCGGATTCTTTTACATCGCAGGTGGGTGCTGGTGACCGTGCCCATGTAGTTCACCAGGTCCGAAGTGAGCGTCTGGTAGGTCCCCCCCAAAGCGCCCTCGAGGGCTTCGAAGCTAATGGCCTGGTCCAGGAAGGCTTCCATCTGGCCTGGGGCGGCTTTAGTTTGAATCCATTATTCTGGGCGTTGAAGCGGGCCTATTGGAACCTTGGTGGGGAGCTTCTGGGGCTTCACCAGCACGAGAACCAGGTAGGGCAAACCAACGGCCAGGTCAAAATACACGGGCCTGCGGGGGCAGAGGGAGAATTCCTTGAGAGTCACGGGTTCTTCCACATAGTCTCTGAAACATCTGGAGATCAGGAAAGAGTCGAGGTGGCAGGATGCCTTCTTGGTGTATAGTGTGGGCATCCCAGGGGCCAATACATACATCCCTGCTCTCGTACAACAGTCACTCTGGAGGAGCTTGGAGGAGGAGAGGTCGAAGTCGCCTGCTACCGCGAGCGGCATGCGATGGGTCTGCCCGAGCTGCGCGATGCTCGCAAGCAGGCTGAGGTTAAACTCGTTCAGCCCTACCTTGTCTGCGAGGTAGACTGAGCACAAGAGAAACTGGGTGTGGCCTGGCACCTCCAAGGCCACAGCTGCGGCCCTGCCAGGTGGCGCGTTCTGCAAATCTATCTCGACGATTACAAAATCGAACCCCTGACGCATTAGGACGGCGGCCCCCTGAATGACTTCCCCGCATACCGACTTGACCCCCTCCGAGAAGACGGCGTGCCACCCGTTTTAGCACACCATTGAGCAGCTTCCAAAATTGCGAAACCCATCAGCTTGGTCTCCTGACAACACACTGTTTGGCACTGGTTTGCCTCCGAGTCGGACTTGAGAAAAGTCTGAAAACTCCCCCAACAACTACCATTTAGTGACACGATTGCGAGACTGCTACCCGCCTGACGGGCGGGCTGCCGCCGATGCGAGGCCACCTGCCTGGGCGGCCGCGCCCCGGCTGCCCGTCCGGCAAAGGCGGCGGGCGGCGTCCTCGGCGGCGGGGCCCACAGCACCGTGGGCTGAGGCCTGGCTCGCGCGGTCGAGGGCCTGCGAGATGCGCTTGGCCCCCGCCTCGACGCCCTTCGGCTCCTTGGTGTCCATGAGCTCTGTCTCGTCGGCCTCGTCGTTGTCTCCTGCGGGCTCGTCGACTGCCTCGGCGGGGGACGTCGCTGCTGCCGCTGGCTGCTGGGGCTCGAGGTTGGGCAGCGGCAGCAGCGGCCTTGTTGAACCCCTCGTGGAGTTTGGCCGCCATCTGGTCCAGCTCCACCTGGACTCCAGTGGGAATCTTCATCTCTCCGAACTTGGCTTTGACGAAGTCCGCGAGCGTGGTGGTCGCCTCCGGTTTGGCATCGACGAGCTTGGTTGCTGCCGCTGTCGCTGCCACCTTGAGTTGGGCCTCCAACTGCTTGATCTCTCGCTCTGGGCCTCTTCGCACTCCTTGGCCCACCTCCGAGTACTTCTCGCTGAGCTCCTCCATCTTCTCGATGTACCACTGCGCGTCCTCCTGCTTCCCAGCCAGGCGCTTGCGTTGCTCCACAAGCTGGGCATTGAGGCTCTGCGTCTGCTGGTCAGGGGACTTGGACGCGAGGGCGTTGGCCTTTGCCACCTTGAGCTCCTCTTGGGCCTGCTTGTAGTGTTGGCCTCCCACTCCCTCGATGCTCTTCCATAATGTGACCGCCGTGATGCAGACAGTGACTGTGTCCAGGTCGTTGGATGGCGCGCTCTCTGCAGCATCGGGGATGCTGTCTTCGAAGTGGACGGCGCTGCGTGACCACCTGTTGCGACTCTTGGAAGAGGGGCGGGGAGGCGCTTGCGTTGGCGTTGGGGCGGAAGCTGCAAAACTGGCACCACATTTCCCACAATGGCGGTGCCGAAGAGATCTGACCAGGACCATCGGCTGCTAGCGGGCGGCGCGTCACGCGCCATGGCGGCAGCAACGCGTTGCTGGCGTTGCTGGCCGAGGCAGCCAAGCCTTGGGAAGGGGCTGCCCCTCCGCCTCGACCTCGGGCCTCGGGAGTCGGGACGGGGAGGAGTCCCCGTCTTGAGCCAAAAGCTACAGGAGGGAGGAGGAGGAAGAGGACAGAGGAGGAGGAGGAGGAGGAGGAGGAGGAGGAGGAGGAGGAGGAGGTGGAGTCCCTTCCCTGTCGTCAGGGCCCCATCTTTGAGCCGCCGACCGAAAAGCAACGCGAGAGGGGAGGCCGGCTGCCGCCACGGCGCCGGTCCGCGGGCCGCAGGCGCGGCGGCCACCCGGCCGCTCCTAGGAGGGAGGGGGGACATAGAAGGGAAGGCCACGGGTGGCCGCGGGAGGAGGAGGAGGAGGAGGAGAAGGAGGAGGAGGAGGAGGAGGAGAGGAGGAGGAGGAGGAGGAGGAGGAGGAGGAGGAGGAGGAGACGAGGCGGAGGAGGAGGAGGAGGAGGAGGAGGAGGGAGGAGGAGGAGGAGGAGGGAGGGAGGGAGTGGAGGGAGGGAGGGGAGGGAGGGGAGGGAAGGAGGTGAGGTGAGGTGAGGTGAGGTGTGAGGTGAGGGAGGGGGGGGGGAGGGAGGGAGGGAGGGAGGGAGGGAGGGGGAGGGAGGGAGGGAGGAGGAGGAGGAGGAGGAGGAGGAGGAGGAGGAGGAGGAGGAGGAGGAGCAGAAGGGCGGAGGGTGTAGGGTGGAGGAGGCGCGATCTTTCCGACCCGCCGCCATGCATCGGGGGAGGGCGGGACTTCTGGGGGGCGGACGGCTCCTCATTCTCGTCCCGGTCTTTCCGGGAAGCAGAGGCCAGGGGCGGAGTGGGGATGGCCCTAGGCCAGGGAGGGCCCTCCTCCTACTCCTCTTCGTGTTGTTCCTTTTCCTCCTCCTCCTCCTCCTCCTCCTCCTCCTCATCGTCCTCATCCTCCTCCTGCTCCTGCTCCTGCTCCTGCTCCTCCTCCCCCTCCTCCTCCTTCCTCCTCCTCCTCCTCCTCCTCCTCCTCCTCTTCCTCCTCTTACTCCTCCCACTCCAGCAGCATCATCATCGTTGTAGTCATCATCATCATCATCAGCATCAGCAGCAGCATCTTCAACAACAACAACAACAACAACAGTAGCATCATCATCATCCTTATCCTTATCCGCATCCTCATTCTTATCCTCCTCCTCCTCCTCCTCCTCCTCCTCATCATCATCATCATCATCATCATCATCATCATCATCCTCGTCCTCCTAGCCCCCTGCATCGAGCCCGCAGCTTCCAGGGGCAGGTACACACAGTACATCGTGTAAGGTGGTATTCGCCATCCAGGTACAGCAGCCCTCCTGAGGGCGGATACGGCACAACAACTTCTTTTGGTTGGGTGGACTCCTCCATCGTATACGGGAAAGAGGCTGGAGGAAGGGGTGGTAGAGGAGATGTTTAACTTTGACTGGATTCTGTTATCTGGATGGAACCCAGGCTGTGGACTGGAGGCAGCAACCTTCATGAAGCATCGTCGCACGTAGGCATGTTCAGGGTCGTTGTATTATTGAGGATCCTTTTTTCAGTCCGTTTGCCCCACTGAGTCGTTCACGCGCAAGTTGTTCGGCGGTTCTTGGCAAGGGAATTCCGTTAGCAGCATATCGTGCAAATTTGGGCTTCTCCTGTAGAGGCAAACCGTTGGTGTCTTGGGGTCCGCATTTAGAGAGGAAGAAGTGACCTGTGCGCGCTGAGCATGTACTTCCCGCCAAAACTGTGTCGTGTGCAGCACAGATCACAGTCTTTTCGCACACGTCAAATTATTATTGCGAACGGTTTCGCGACATTATTGCTTCTCTGTCGCACAAGACTACACTAGTATGTTTTCTGACGCGAAAGACGGCACCGGCATTCCATTGGCTGGCAAGGAAGCGATCGACACTTTGGTTGCGCATCTCCCACTCATTAACGCTTCAGAATGGGAACAATTGAATAACTTCGAGAATTGCTTTAAACCTCATGAGATGAAGGCATCCAGTGCTAGAGGCTCCCGGATCATTCACACGTACTCTGGTCAGGATGGTAGCCGGTCGCGCAAATAGAACCCCCTCTTCCTTAGGGCAGCTGGGCACCACCGTGCAATCTCAATCGTAGTGAGTGTGATCAGGTGCTTTGCGAACCACTGTATAAGAATGCGGCCAACGATTCCCCTGGAGGCGTTGGAGGATTTTTTGTTCATAGGTCGACCTACACAGGGGAACGCGATGTGGGACGCGTTCACTGTCCGAGCTTGCGTTGGGTTTTTTCCACACAACCTTACTCTTGATATTCGGCGAGCAGCAGGGTGACACACAGTACAGTCCAAAAGTTGCGAGGCTTCGTGGCAGGGGGTGCTGGCAGGTATCAGCACGTTTAGGTTTGCAGTCGACATCACCAGTTTCCTTGTGAATGCTCGTAGATGTCGTTGGGAGAAATCACGTCCAAGATTTCAGACGTCGGTGCGCAGCTTGACGCGTTTCGTTCAGAGTGTCGGTACGGTCGAACCTTTTCCTAGCAGGAGTACCTTATGTTGTTTCGCAACTTGCGGATATCAACGCAGACCGCTGCTCAGACAGGAACCTTTTTCTCCTCCGAGGATCGGCAAAAGAACGAGCTAGTGATCTCGGTCCCCACCCACAGTTGTGCGTTTCTGCCAGGGCTGAGATTTCTAGTAGGCGTGGAGCTGACATCTGGGTTTTTCCTGCCTGGGCCGTGCCTGGAGGTTTGGGCACCCCGAAGAGATGGAAACGCAGCTTGTTCATCGGGTTTGTACACAAGCCTTCTTGAGTGGGCTCGGAAGTTTCGTCGAGACCGCTACCGGGATGCTTGATTGGCGTCTCGTTCGGAGAAGGCGATGTTCTGGGGCGGTCCGAATGAGAAGCCGCTCTAAAACAAGCAGGTATTTGAATATTGGAAGCAGAGCCTTTCCTCGCTCGAGCTACCCTTCCGCAGAGTCCAACTGCACCTGGCCTGGGGCGCGCACCTGAGGAGCAGACTCAGACACTGCACACACACTTTGGGGCGTCTTCCATCGATTGGATGATCCCCAAGCTGTTCGACGGTCGGCCATCAGCCCGCGACGCGCCGTGGACAAGACAGGTTGTTGCTGATTTGGAGCGCGCATCTATGCTCTTGCCGTACGAATGGGCGGTGGAGGTCGTTGATGACCCTTGCCTGCTAGCTGACTCTGAGGCTTCTGAGGACGTTCACGTGGTGTTTTTCTTGTTCGGAGCTCCGCAGCCAGTTTTTTCCCGGCACGCACCCCTCCTCCTGGGCATGGCCTTCAAGCAGGGCCCCATACAATAACCTGAACTAGATGGCCATGTTGAGGAAGAGGAGCGCCTCTTCAAGTGCCCAGTGGACCTCGACGGGGGCCCCTACAAGAGCGTCTTCAGTACCCGCAAGAAGCCATTTGAACATCCACGTCCATGACATGATCTAGAAACTTGGTGCATGTGCTGACGCCCTGTAGCGCGCGTGCGCATTGCCTTCACGCGCTTTCTACCCCTGCAACAGCTGCCCAGCGCTTACTGCGATCTCTTCAGAAGGGAAACTGTACCACGCTGGGCCCAGCTTCGCATGACTGCTCGCGTTGCGAACTCGCGGGCGAGGATGCGATGTCACTCTGTCGCCATCTCCGACGCCATCTGCCTGCCCACATCGACCTTGTCCAAACATGTCGCGCCGGTTCCACAGATGCCGGAGGGCTCCAATATGTTAGCCGAGTTCCCCCGAGACCAGATCGGCGCAGCAGAGTTCAAGTTCCCGCCAGCGGCGACGCCGAGCCCCACGCCAAGGAGTCCAAGGAGAAGATGTCGGGCGGCCAGGGTTCAGGCGAAATTCCATCCGACAAACCATGCGGGCCATGAGCACATTGGTCATAGTCGCCAGTCGGAAGCTCGCCGAGATCAGAGCCGCACGTTATCTTCAGTGCGAGATGGTCGCAGGCCACGGCGCGATCGCGAATGCAGTCGCGACAGGACTGCAGTAATCTCACAGCAAAGAAATGAGAAAGCGCGCCCACTCATGGCGAACAGGTGAATCGCAGAACTTCGTGGCCGGGCGGGAGTTCGGGGCCGCCGAAGCAGTCGCAGACGAGACAAATCCAGAGATGAAGCACAAGGCCGAGAATCTCATTCAAGATACGAGGGCGCCGTTGTCGAGAGGATCTGCAAGTGCGACGCGCCCGATGCCGCCAGCGCAGGCTAGCACTTTTGGGCCAGGCTGCATCGCGAGTGAGAGGGGTAGAAGGCTGCCGACACGCTCCCGCGCGCGAGATGGGCACCCACCGCCCGCTGGGCCCCGTGGCGCGCCCGCGGGTCGAGACGCCCGCGTCTGCGGAGGGGGGCGTCCGCTCGTCTTTTGGGGGCAGCGCTTCCAGGCCCGCTGGAGCGATAGATTCCGAAGCATCTGGATCGCCAGCATTAAGTCGGGCCTGTCCCTCTATAGGAGAGAACTATGCATGGGGACGATCTATCGGTTGTTTTTGAGCATTGTTTGAGGATTTGTGGGGCGCGTTTTAATTTTTCGCCCATAATCCCCCGGGTGGGGGAATGGCCCGATCTGAGGCCAGCGTCGGCCAGCAGCAGCTGCAGCGACGCCGCAGAACGACGGCGCGCGAAGGCGCGCGGCAGCTCGAGGGCAGCAGCGCTCGCTGCGGCAGGTGGCACCAGGCAAGCTTTCGCGCGCGCATTGCCAGTGGCGGGCCGCTTTTCAATCCAATCCTAGGATTTGTTCGGCAGGGTCGCGGGCGACATCGGGGTGGCGCGGCGCTTATTTGCGCCCCGCCCCCCCGAGGAAACCGCGAAGAAGAAGGAGGAGAGGAAAACATATATATATATATATATATATATATATATTATATATATATATATATATATATATAAAAAAAAAAAAAAAAAAAAAAAAAAAAAAAAAAAAAAAAAAAAAAAAAAAAAAAAAAAAAAAAAAAAAAAAACGCGCGCGCCAGGGCCCCGTGCGCGCCGGGGCCCGCTCTCCCGCGCGAGTTTCAGTTCGGTCGGCCACACGTAAGAGCGACCCGTGGCCGGAGTGACTTTTAGTGTTGGCCCTAATGGGGTCGGACAGATTTTCTTGAGGAGCGCGCTCGGCCTCGCGTCGGCGCGCGCTGCACTAGTCTGCGATCGTATCAGAGCGCGCTCGATTCAGGGCGCGCTCCTCGCAATCGATCGCAACGCACGCACGGTGCATTCTGCCGCGTGCTTCGTTTGGTGAGGGGGGGTCAGTCGAGCGGGCGATGTGCTCTCCGCTTTGGGGCCGGTCCCAA